TTTTAACTTTAATTTTATCACTCGTCTAGTAATGCTGAAAACTAAATATACTTACATCATAGATGACACTGGAGTATATCAACTTTGTTTTGCGTGCTTCTAATTGATTTTACTCTGTACTTATTACTGGCGAAATTACTTGATTTTTCCAATCAATATTATTTATGTGAATCAATGAAGCATGACTTTTTCATCACGTAGACGGCTTTTTTCACTCAACTCCTCCTCATTACATGCATTTTGTTGTTCACATATTCTACCTCTTCTTTTTTACCTTAGCCTAGACTTTCTTGTTGTTGTGATGATAAAATGTACACTGATATCTGCATACGCGTAAATTTGAGTTGTAATGATTTATTGGACTTTGAACTTTATCTAATCGATATAAACATCTTCTATGGTAAAATCTTTTTTTTAAACTGATGATTGCATAAGCAGTATTGGAAGCTCGTAAATAAAGAAATGAATATTTCATATGTATTTTATCACTTAATCTTTGGATTTATCAAAAACTCTATTTACAACTGAAAGTTAATTAACTATATTTGCAGGGAATATGGCGAATGTGCTTGAAAAAAATTTAGACATGTCCAGCGGTTAACAATGAAATGAGAAAAAGCCCAGTGTAATATTGAATTAGTACGTATATGCCTCGTTTATGGCTAGACTCGTGAACTTCTCAGATTTAAGTTAGCAAATAAACATCTTGCTTCATCTCCTCTAGGGAAGAAATATCCATGACAGGTACTTCGTATTGAATACTCAGAAAAACAAAGAAATCTAATTCAACTGAGAAAATAATTGAATCGTATTGCAACTGACGAAGGTGCTAACATTGTATCACCTGATCATCGTTATAGAATTAACATCCTATCTATATGACAAAGAAAAAGCAACAATCGCTAGAGATAAGAATTTACATCAGAAAAATAATTTTATGTTACTTAGTGCTATAGGTGACCATACAAGAGCTTATCTTCATGCTTTGGACAAATTGGTTTATAATTTATTGTCAAAATTGCTTAGTATTTCGCAATTGAAATTACTTAGCAGAGATTGGCAACTTTGCATAACAAAAACGTCATTGAACATTTCAATATACAAACAAAAATTGAATGTGAGTTAATAAAAATTAAAGAGGAGTCAAAGAAGTGAAACATTTATTGGGAACCATTTTGTAATAAAATTAAGTGATGAAGAACGAATTGCATTAATAGAATTAAAAATGGACAGATCATTAGTTATATTACGAGTTGACACATGTAATGCATTGGTATGCATGGAAAAAAATAATTATATAGATAAAGTAGATCAAATTTTGCAAGATTCAAAGAGTTTTAGCAGATATGAAAATTCTGAATCAGCGAAAGAAGAGAAGCAAATTACAAACAGACTGCTCAAATTATTGACAGATAAGAAAATTATAGCAAAAGAATATTATGACCAAAAATTGCAATGTATAATGCTCTATAGTGTAAACTTAGAGTATTTCTTGCTACTATGATAGAGAAGTATGAGAAAGAAAGTCATTCATATGTTAAGAACTTATTTCAATATATCAATATTTTGAAGAAAACATTAATGAGAAACAACGAATTAATGATGAGCTTTGAATCAAAATCGTTATATTCAAATGTACCCGCTAGTAAAGTCATACAATGAGCTGAACCAAATTCTTAACCACCTACACCTACTCTCCCGAGAAGATACGATTCGAGTGCTCGATCTGTGTCATTAATTTAGTGAATGTTTAGCTATAAGAGTGTCCTGATCGTTTAACAAAAATATAGATAATTGTGATGCATGTAGTATATATTATGTCTCTCAGTAATGGACGATGAATAAAAGTATACAATCTAATGATTTCGATCAATGATCTTTCTTCTATATGTGGCTATAACGATGATTAGTATTGCGAATGTCTATTACTCTCTGAACGCAATGTGCATTGGCTATTATTATTGGATTACAAATGACCATAGAAATGAAATATTGTTTATGTTAGCAAGTTAGGACCGTTCTTTACTGGTTCGAAGAACTAGAAAGTGAAGTTAGTATCCTTCATAAAATCTGTACCACAAATTCATTATTCCAGTGTTTTCTCCATTTCAATAACAAGCGTCGAATGTTTTTTGTACGAAAATCGCTTGAATGTTGAAATCTCAGCAATAAAACCAATTGGATCCAATGATGAATGTTATATATGACCGTACCAACTAGATCATTCAGATCACAAACAGTTACAATTTACAATAAACAGCCACACAATTTGGTTAAAATCATGTTATTTCTAAACTATATGTTTGTTTAATACGACTACAACCTATTTGGTTTTTAGAATTCAGTTCATTTCGATCAGGCCATCATTTACAATGGTGAAATCTTCTAGTGATGTTCGAAAATGAACTCTTTGCTTATTGCTGAAGATAATCTAATAAAAACTGATTATGCATATGACATCGAAATATGATCCGCGTACTATGAATGAAAGCTCAATATTTTTACTCGTAGAGATTTGGAAACTTATAAACCATGATTAAAATATCTCTACTAAAAACAGCAACTTCTATTCATGATAGTATTATTTTAAATAAGAACCAATCAAATATGAGTACGATCACGAGATATATTATGATACTTAGAGAAGGTATTCTAGTAGCTGTGGGTATAGTTCTTCTCTTGATCTTAATCCTTCTGTCACATCTACATACCGCTAATTAGTTGTCATTCATGTATAGCAACAATCGATAATAAATTCTTGATTAGTAACAAATGAGTTTTCTTTCTAAATATTATCATCAATACATTTAACTTTAAATCATCATAATAATGAAGTCATTATACAATTAAAAATATTGATTTACCATTAATGATTGTTGATGCATTTTATAGGATCATGAATTATTATTAATAAGAGATCGTTTATTTGATATAGAGTGTCAGAACGGTTGCGCGTGAAGTTTGACTGAAGAGACGATAAACGCATACCCATCCTCAGACAGCAGTGTTCAAACTTTCAAAAAAGTTAATTTCTCTTACCCTATTAAATAATCATCATCTTCTTATTTGAACACTAGGTTATACTCGATTGATTTTAGTTTCAACTTTCACACTAATACAAAAAACAATGAATACATGTTCAATGCGATTTTTTAATTGTCATAAACATTTAAAACTTTTAGATTTAATTTTTTGAACATAAAGTAAATATAGTAAACAAATATCGATAGATTTCTTTGACTTGAACAATAACGAAGTCAAAATTTTTTCGAAAAAATAACTAACTAATTAATTTGTTTTACTCATTTTCACAAGGATTGTACAAGATTAATACTTAAAATATCTAATACGAGACATTTTTGCACGATACCAGGTAAAGAGAGAAGCCAATCAGTAACGAAGCATGATAAGTGCATCCACATAAAAAAAAAATAATTTATTAAATGCAGAAGAATTTCGTTACAGACTTATTTCAATGTGCAGAAACAGTAAGAAACACAAGCGAAAGTAAATATCTAGCACATACATTCTGACAACAAACAGTCTCGATCAATACAAAATGTTTCATCTTGTTAAGATTGAATCAATGAAAAAGAAAAAAAGACTGCATAAAACAATATCGATAATTCTCAGATGAAAACTTTTTTTAAAACATTTGATCTAAATATAGAATGCTGATTATTAAATGTGAATATCAAATTTTGTTTTATTTTTTGTTAAATAAAAAAAATATTAAAAATAGGTAAATAGAGAATGCTATTTTGACATCGTTCTAAGGTTATCTGATTAAGTATTAGTCGTTTTTTTTTTTCTTCTTCTTATTCTTGTTTTTCTTTATCCATTGATGGTAATGTTTGATGTGAAAAAACAGCTTTTTCATATCCTGTTTTATCATAAAGTCGAGTAATACTCCATTGTCGAGCATTATTCCATGTTAATAATTTTGTTTTAATACAAACAAATGATTGTTGTTGTTGATGTTGTTGTTGTTCTTGAGTTTCAGGTGGTATAGGAATTGGTGTTGCTGCACTCGACCATAATTCTATTGTTGTTAATGGTGGAATTATAAATTGATCTGTAAATCTATATTGAAGGACTGGGTGTGTATCTGTTTGTCGTTCAATATACCATCCAGTTAAATCATATTTTTTCTTTGTACTTATATTATCAATAATAATAACATCACCGGATGGTGAACATCCATTAAACATAACAGGACCTTTTGAATGACGTCGAAAAAAAGTTTTTGTATGAATAAGTTCTTCATCATTATCGTCAATGTCAACAGCAGAAATAATAGTCGTTTCTTTCATGTTAATTTTTCAGTCTAAATGTCTATCGTAAGCGTCAAGATCAGAATGAAGGAAAAATCAAAATGTAGGACGAACTAATCAAGCGTTACATTCATTCAATTTGATTGCCTTGATAATTTTTGATAACAAAGACAAGTCTTATGTAAAAGAATAAAGTGAAACGAAAACTAGAAATAATACAAATGAGTATTATTTTCGAAAGAGGAAGACAGATATATTCTTTTTTTTTTTTATTCGTTCTTTTTTTTTTCTTCTTATTTTTTTTTTGTTCTTAATCTACTTGACATGACTAGAATGAAAAATAAAATCATTTTCATATGTTAACAAATTATGTCCTTCTTACAAAATAATTCAATGTAATTGTTGTTGTTGTTTTTTTTATTCTCAACAATAAATTTCACATATATATCTTTGTTCATTTCTCCTTTTTCAATCAAAAGAGAAATATAAAAGAAAAAGAAGAAACTGTTTATAGGAACAAGACAAAAGAAAAAAAGGAAATATCAACTACTATATAACCACAAGTAACAAATCAGTTGTATGCTTTTCTTTTTTTATCAAATAATAGACCAAAAAAAAAATATATATATATATATAATGTATAGAGATTCATGTTTTATAACAAAGCGTATTTACAAATACAGATGAATACTACATCGACAATATATTTGACTAGAATAATAAAGATCATGCAGGTGGTTGTTTTCGTTTTGGTACAAGAAGTGTACATATTGGTGTACTATCAAGTTTAACATCATCATTTGAAATAATTGTAAGTGGAGAAGATTTGATATCCGAAACATTACTTGCATCTTCTAATACATTTGTTTTACTTGTATTCATAACTTCAATATCAGCTTAGACAAAGAAAAAAAAAACAACAACAATGATTTATTTAAAAGAAAAAGATACAATGATTTTAACCTACTCATAATAACATCTGAATCATCAATTATCGAACAATTTTCGTTGGAATTCATTTTACGACGTTTTGATGGTGAGGCTGCTTCAACTATATTTGATACTGAACCAGTACGTTTAACTGTTGGTGTTCCAATTGAAGGAGTATTTGTCACAGGTTGTTGCTGATCAGTAGTCGAACCTAATATAATAAAACATGTTAACTTTAATAGTAGTGAAATTCTTTCTAAAAATCTCAGTGAATATTATTACTGTCTGTCGGACTAAGTCTTATTATAGAGAGTATCTTGTATCTTCGAGGTGATTATCCTTAACGTTAAAATTTTAGTGATGATATTATTAATCACAAAATTTTTTTAAAGTTTTTCGGTTTACAAAAGAGCGTCCATTTGGTAATTGACAAGTTCTAATTGTGATAAATCGATCTATGTTATCGAATGCCGAAAAATGATTATATTCAGAATATAAGAATAATGCAAAAAGAAAAAGTCGAATGGTACAAACCATTTCAAGGTCTTTATCTAGACGGAGAAAAATAGAATATCAGTTAAAGAGCTTCCCCCTCACAAAAGATTAAACTTATTCAAATAAATTTCTTTTTTTTTTTTTTTTTTGATAATAGGATTAACAAAAAGTAAAATAGACGTTATCTTAGAGAAGTATGCATAATTCAACTATCGATTTATCATTATGTATTTAAGTACGATAGTTCTATTAATGAGAAAACGTTTTCAACAGATTAATCACTTTCTTATTGAAAACTAGTAGATTCTAGATTAACCAATTGAAGACGTTTCTTCATAGAATTAGTAAAAATGTGATTTATTTCTCTCAACCCAAAAATCATATATATAAAGCAGCTGTTTTTTTTTACAATTGATAGATTCAAAGATTTCAGCAAAATAAAGCTTTTATTGAGGTTTTTGAGTCTATCAATCCTTTTATCTAACCTTTTTTAGAAACCAATGATTTTTTTCTTGATACTCCTTTCTTTTTATCTTCTTTCGAAATTGTATCATCATTAATTTCTTGTTCTTTATCATCTTGTTCTACACGTTGAAGAATTTCTTTTGGTACAAGAATTCTCTAAAAAAAAAACATAATAAAATTTTGTTTTGGTTTTCTTAAATTAAAATTTACTTGAAATTGATGAAGATAATTTGATAATTCAAATTTTGTTTTTTCATCTAATGTTGGATCATAAATACAACCAAATAAAGGTTTTAATTCTCGTTGTTGATTTAAACGTGCTACTTTCTTATCCCATACATGTGTTTTAGCTGCTTCACGAGCTTGTTTTGTCGATGTAGACTTAATAGAACAAAAAATTTTTTCTAAATAAATTTTCTATGTTTTTATTTTTACTTGTTGTTGTTCATCTTCATTTAATTCATCATCTGATAAATGACCATGTGGTACAATAAATGAATCAGTATCACTTTCACTATCCATTGTTTCTGAATCACTTAAATCATCAGCATCCGAACGAAGTTCTTCACCATCTTTACATAGTTCTTCCCATTCACCTTCTGAATCAACTGTATAATCAACCTATTCGAAAACAAAAAGATAATCATTGTCAATACTAGATTGATAAATTATACATTCTCAATAGATGCATCTGGTTCTAATGGATTAACATTAACACTTAAAGCTTTTTTAAATGTTCCATAGTATGGTGGACGATTAAAATATTTTTCTGGAAAATGAATATATCGAGTTTTTAATACATATGAATTATTTGCAGTTGTTGTTGCTACAACTGTTATAAGACTACTATTCGAATCACTAAAACAAAAAAAACGAACAATATGAAAATTTTCTTTAATAATAATAAACCTGTTCAAACGTGGACGTGAATTAATTTCAATATCAAGTTTTTTCATTGATTTTATATTTTCAATTATATCCGATACAAAATTAATATCCTAGTAAATTTATATAAAATTAAATAAGCATTAAACCAAAAAAAAAAAGAAACCTGTTTCGAAACCAATTGATCAAAAATATTTGTACATCGTTGAACGATAGTATGAGTATTTGTTGTTGATGTTTGCCCTTCTTTCTAAATTATATAAAGAATTTTATTAAGTATTACCCAGTTAAGATTAATGAGTGAAGGTTACTAGTTCGATTCAGAAAAACCTTTGCCATCTAGAATGGTAAAGCATCGATACTGAAGCCTAAGTTTTGTGCCTACAGCAGCTGACAATGGTAAAAGTGTCGAAAAGAAAAAACAAAAGAATAATGCCACATAGAGATGACATATGGTAATAAATTCAATATTAAATATTGAACTTCATAACTGTAGAAAAACGAAAGTTTTACTATTTTTTTCAAACCATGTTATGAAACATGAGAGAATATTCTAAAAACTTCGTACAATCTGTTTTTTATTGACCTTAAAATATAACCTTTGACCTTTAACCTATAACATACCGACAATCTAGATTACGCATATACGTCAATGTTCAATCATATGATATACAACACTTCATATGTGTTAAGGATTTTTGCTTATTCTACTATAGATATCGCTATTGTGAAGATTACATATTGTCTTTGAATACACTCAGTTATTCTTACTTGTGAAGGTTTATCAACTGGTTTAAAATATCTATCCATATAAGTTGCCATTTGTTTATGAACTAATTCTTGTTTTTGTGCCTGTGCTTGTTTTTGTTCTTTTTTTTGTATTTGTTCAGCCTTTTTATTACTGAAATATGAATAAAGAAAAAAAAAAAGTGATTAAATCAAAAATGAATATAAGATTCGTACGCATATTCTGCTTCTTTTCGAGCTTTTTCTTCAGCTTTACGAGCCTTTTCTAATTGAAGTTCTTCAGCTTTACGAGCTTTTTCTAATTGAAGTTCTTCAGCTTTACGTGCTTTTTCCAATTGAAGTTCTTCAGCTTTGCGAGCTTTTTCTTCAGCTTTACGAGCTTTTTCTAATTGAAGTTCTTCTGCTTTTCGTGCTTTTTCTAATTGAAGTTCTGCAGCTTTTTTTGCTTTTACTAAAAATGAAAGAAATAATGATTTTTTTTTTTATTGTTGTTCTATGGATAAATATATCAGCTGACATTCTTCTGCAAGACGTTTTTTCTCTGCTTTCATTGCTTGTTCTTCTGCTTTTTTTGCTTCTCGTTCAGATTTTCGTTGCATCTAGAATTAAAACAAAAATTCTTATTATTAAATATAATAATATCTTTGTCTTACTTACATATTCAGTTTTTGATAATCTTAATTTTGGTGTTGTAGGTGTTTTAGCAGTATCAGTTTCTGTCGAAGGAACACGAATTGGAGAATTTGTAGATAGAACTACACATTCTTCCGAAGATGAACTATCATTATTGTTAGTAGTAATAGTATTATTATCAGGATCCATCTTAGGAGAAATAACAAAATAAATAAATAGATACTACTGAATGCGTTTTTTTTTGTTTAAAACAAAGAAATATTGAAATGATTGAGATAGGCTACATTACACGTTTATGTATATGTACAAAAACGCCATTGAAATAAATGCATTCAATTTTCGTAGAAAATAAAACGAAACGAAAAGGGGGCGCTCGGTGACAGTCAATATTTCGGAAACTTATAGATATATATATATAATTTAATATGAAGAAGTGTTACGATTTAATTCATATAGATAATTTTAGTAAATTATTTTTCAATACAGATAAATATATTGTAAGAATTTATTGTTGTATTCATATTTCGAAATTTTCTGATAATATATTTCGATTGCCAAGTTTAGATACGAAAATTTTAAACTCGACGAGATCTAAACCTGAGAACCTGTTGTTTTTTTTTTAATTTTCTAACGATTTATGAATGTCACAAGAGTAGCCATTGTCCAGAAAAGGGAAATACAACAGCAACTGAGGTTGAGTTCGAGAAGTACTACATCGAGAATAGTTCGAAACAATATGACATACAATCCTACTGAAGGATTCTTGCAAAGATTAATATATAAAACCTCAAATAATTTCATTTTCTGTTGATTCTAAAATTTAAAATAATTTTCCTTTAAATCTCTTGTAATATTCGATTATAGAATAATATATATGTATCACACAACATTTCTTCGACAACTAAGGACAACTATTGATAACTCTCTCTCTCTATTGCTCTTTATGTTACATACATATCTAAAGAAGTATAATGTGGAGTAATGGACTCTAGTTTAGCTAACGCCAATTTAGCCTCACTTCATACGTTCAAAAAAGAAGTAAAAATTTATATAATGATTTAATTTTATTTAGTCTTTACAAATCAATGATCAATCTTTCATGTCTACATCATATTTTGATCAACATTGTCAAATAATTACTGATTTTATTAAATATCATCAAGATAAAAATACTTCATCTATATTTCATACATTAAAAAATCGATTTTATGCTGCATTTATTATTAAAAAAAGTTTGTTTGAATAAAAAAGAAAAAAAATATAATATATATATATTCGCTATTTGATTCTAATTAAATAGGTTTAAATGATACGGGAAAAGTCGTAGCATTTGGTGTTGGTAGTCGATGTACATCACTGGATAATATTGAAGAAGATGGTTGTGCGCTACTTGATTGTCATGCATTAGCATTGGCAAGACGAGCATTATTACAGTATGTTATTCAAAATTTATTTACTTGCAATCTATAGAAAATAATGTTGCATCGAATCATAGGATTAAGCATTTCAGATATATTTTAATCTTTCTATTTCTTGATTATAGAATTTTAGAAATGTATTAAAGATTCAATTATTCTATCAGTATTTTTTTTTCTTCTGTTATTAAGATTTTGAGTATCATAAAAATCTTCTATTTCATTTCATTATAAAGTAAAAAAAAAATTGAAATCTTTTTATAGATATTTCTATGGTGAACTTCATCAATTAACTCATGGTTTACCTTCATATCGAAATATTTTTGTTGATCCTCATACTGATAAATTACAATTACGTAATAGTGTATCAATTCATTTAGTTCTATCCGATGCACCAAATGGTGATGCGAAAGAATTTCTTCCATCTGATACAAATAATTATCTAAGTGCATATGATGCTGTAAGCATTTATTTTTTTATTTTTTTTGTTTTAAATCGATTCCGTTTTAATTAGATATTATTGATTGAATATAGGTTCAAATGAGAATGGCAGCACATGCACCAGTTTATGAAACACGTGAACAAGGTCTATTAAGATATAAATATTTAGAAGGTACAGATACAATGCCTGCAACACATCGACAACAATTTGGTATGATGTCATGTAGTGATAAAATTCTTAAATGGAATGTTTTGGGTGTACAAGGAGCTCTTCTTTCAACACTTATTGAACCTATTAAAATATCTTCGATTACACATAGTAAATTTTCACATTTATAGTTTTTCTTTTTATAAAATATAAAGTTTTCTATTATAGTGTGTGGTTTTAAACAACAACATACTTCACGTGCTTATTGTTGTCGTTTAAGTAAAGCTTCATCAATAATTAATATTCATCATCCTAAAATTGGTATGATAAATTTTTGTTTTATTATCAGCGTTCTTTAGCTCTACGGTCATATTGATTTTTAAGGAGTAACGAGGTGAAGGATCGTAGATACCAAGAGTCAACAATTTCTTTTAGATGAGTGCATTTACTATCATCTTAAGTTTTTTTTAACCATGAACCGGATAGTTAATACTGGACAGACTATCATTCGGCTGATGTATTAAACTCTAAAACTGAAAAGACTTTTCTGATTGCGTATGCTTATCCAACATATGCTTTCTATAGATCAACCTGATTTTAATAATTGATGTGTAGACGAGCGCATGAAGACTTGAATATGGGTAATATCTAATGTTGTTGATGTATATTGCGTATTCACTCGAAGAAGTTAGCGCAACTACTATTGAATATATCCACATCCCCCCATCTATTGAAAATCGACGACGTTATGGTGATTTCATTGTTTTTTTCAGAATACAATAAGAAGACTTTAATCATTATCTTTTTTTTTTATATGATAATTTCTAGGTCGAGCAAAAAATGCTATCATTTCATCAACTGACCTTGATCATGATTTAAGTTATTCATGGTCAACTGCTTATCCCGGTGAATTAATCGATGCATCAATTGGTCGTCCTACTATAGGGTAAATAGTTTTCATCTAAATCAATAATTATATAAAACGGAAAATTTTTTTATTTTTACATTTTAGTGGTGTTAGTATTATATCAAAAGCAACATTATTGAGTGAATTTAAACATTTATGTTTAAAAATGTGTCATCCATGTAATATACATATGACATATAATGAATTAAAAAAATTAAATAAAGAATATTTTAAACAAAAACAAGCAATGATTTTATTTCTTGAACAAGCCAATTTTGGTTATTGGTCATCAGATAAAATTCATTTTGAACAATTTAAATATTCATCGAATATTTTACCTATTAGTCGAAATAAATAGAATTACTTTTGTCAGATAGACTGATATTTTTCTTTTTTTGTTTTTTTGTGATATTTATGTTTTTTTTTGTTCCCTATATAATATATAGAACAGATAAATAAACGATATGTTTTTGAAACAAAAAAACACTACAAAATTTGATATTTCAGATCTAAAAAATGTTAGGATCAAGGACAATGCTAAGTTTACGACACATGACACCTGCATATCGATGTTTTATGCAAGTATGTAATATGAATCATGAAAGATGAAATTGTTCATTTAGTGATTTCTTTACAATGGTCATATGTAACTGTAACTCTAGCATTGAAATTTTCGCCAAAATTTTAGAATCGAGTTTATAATTATATAGGAAAATTTTTATTGAATATAAACCATAATAGTTTCAGAACTTATTATTTTCTTTATAAATAAAATTAAAAAAAACTATATAATTGAAATTTATTTTAAGCAACAAATCACTGATATGTCCATGGTAAATAAATATTTTCGTCGATGTCTTGCTCAAGTTGTTATTGAAAAAAAAACATTTAAACGAGATAAACCACATATTAATATTGGGACAATTGGTCATGTTGATCATGGAAAAACAACTCTTACAGCTGCTATTACACGCAGTATGATATTATAAAACAACCTTTTTTTTTTCAATTTTTATTTCTATTTATTTTTTTAATAAATAGTTTTGAGTGAAAAAAAATTGGCTAAAATAAAAAAATATGAAGATATTGATAATGCACCAGAAGAAAAAAAACGTGGTATTACAATAAATGCTGCACATATTGAATATTCAACACCAAATCGACATTATGGTCATGTTGATTGTCCAGGCCATGCTGATTATATTAAAGTATAAACAAATAAGGAAATTAATTAATATCATTTATTCCTTTTTTTTTTGTTTTTCTTTCTTTCTTTCTAGAATATGATTACAGGTTCATCACAAATGGATGGTGCTATTCTTGTTGTTGCTGCAACAGATGGTGTCATGCCACAAACACGTGAACATTTACTTCTTGCTAAACAAGTAATAGAAAATATTTTATTTTAATCTTAAATTAATTGTTCGTTTTATTTTATTGTATTTAAAAGATTGGCATTGAAAAAATTGTTGTTTTTATGAATAAAGCTGATGCAGCTGATAAAGAAATGATTGAATTAGTAAGTTTTATTATTATTTTCAAAACTATAAAGTATAACACTTCAACCATCAATTATCTAGTGAAGATTGTGTGTTAGTGTATTGCATAATCGTAATTCTGTTGATCATGCAGTATACATATAATAAAATAAAAATAGTGTTGCATTTTTAAAAGAGAAGTCTACAACAACAAAAAAAACAAGACTCTTGTCATCGAGATATAACTGTTTAAATTCTTTTAGGTTGAACTTGAATTACGAGAATTATTAACACAAATTGGTTTCGATGGTGAACATACGCCAATTATTCCAGGTTCAGCATTATGTGCACTTGAAGTTTGTTGATAAGATTTTTATTCTTTTTTTTCTTTTTTATTTCGATTTTACGAAATTTTATTTTAGGATCGAGATCCAAAATTAGGTAAAGAAACAGTATTAAAATTACTTGAAGCTGTTGATACATACATTCCTGTACCACCAAGAGCTGCTGATCAACCATTTTTATTACCTGTTGAACATGTTTATTCAATACCGAGTAAAGATTTTATTTAAATATAAAAATATCTTAGAATGTTTATTCTTCTTATAGACAAAGGAACAATTGTTACAGGACGTGTTGAACGTGGTACTGCAAAAAAAGGTGATCAAATTGAAGTTGTTGGACATAATAAACTTAGTAAAGGTCTTATTGGAGGTAAAGATTTAGAAAAAAGAAAGTATTTATTTACAACGAAAAAAAAAAATATGAATTGAAGGTCTTGAAATGTTTCATCAAACAAT